TATATAAATAATTCTTGAATACATAATATACTTATATTAAAAAATTGAGATTTTTATCATTTATTTTATAATACATTTTCATATATTTTTATTAGAGCACAGATTAAAAAAATATGTCTATTTATTAAAATAATGATCCAGATATTAAACCGTCACCAATTTGTCGTATTATTTTAAATGTAATTTAGAATACTCTGTAATTTTTTATAATTTTGTTATCGTTTTAAAAATATGTATAAAACTTCCTTAGCATTTAATATTATTCTAAAGAAAATTTCACATGCGATAATTTACAATGTATGATAAAAATAAAAATGTAAAAAATAAATATCTCTTAAAAAATTTATTTTAGTAAAAACATTATCTTAAGGAATATTTTGTTTTATCTCAAGGAATATTATTTATAATTTACTAATAATGCATCTGCATACAATAATTATATAAAGCTTACAATAAATATTTTATAAAATTTATTAACTGATATGTATATAGCAATATAAACAGAGAATATATTTTAATTATTGCATAAAGAATAAAACAGAGAGGATATAGCAAGATTAAAAAATAGTTTTTAATAATACTATTAAGAAAGTTTGATTCGCAGAGATATATGATATAAAATGGTTTTAACAGTTGTAATTGTGAAATTAAAATGTTCCATTAAACATACGGCATTATAAGTTACACTTATCGTAATGTTAGGAATCGCGCAATTTAATATTTGAAATCTCTGGACTTTGGTATGCTCGTCCGTCGGGCTGTCAGAGACTGCAATCTCTCCCCTTTGGTTGTCGAAGTATGGTCGCCGGACGTCGGAGTTAAAAGGGGCCTCTACGAGACCGACGGTCAGCTCGGAATGGAATGTCTGCACGGATTCTAGACTGAACTTGTTCCCATGTTTCCTCTATCGAACTGAACAGACCACCACGGATTGCTACTAGCGTGACTCACAAATATTAACATCAACGTGCCACAGCAGGATATTTTTATTTTCAATCTACTTATTCAGTTGTTTGTAGTGTTTCAATCATCTGATTATTTTCTAAAATACTTTGAACATTTCGTGATTATTATTTCATTTCTGTTATGTGCGCGTTAAATATTTTATAGACATTTCTGTAGAAATTGCATGATGATGAATTTCATATTTTAAATAAATCTTTGAAAAATTTAACGGAAAAACTTGACGAATAAGATTATCGAATTATTGAACCTTCAAGCTAGTTTGCAAAGAATAAATAATCAAAGAATATTGTTTCTATATTTCTTTAGATGATGCTTAGCGGGACCAATGCATGTGTACACTTGGCACTTTTTATCCTCGTGAATTTGCATACGCGTATTCTACCTTCACAACTCAACCGACATATCTCATGGATTGATCAGATTACAAAAGTCACTTCAACCGACTTTGATGCTATTCAAAACGGCCATGACGAATGGTCATATGCTATAAAAATGTTATTTGCGTATAATATCTTTCTAGACATCAACGTAAAGAATATTTTATAATTGAAGTAGTAATCTATAAAGTGTACGAATTGTTTTCCTTTTATTGTTAAAATAGCATATGACTCGAATCTATAAACGAATCATTTTTCATGTTATTTGCATCTTATACTACATTTTAACTTAAGAAAAAAGATTTGTGTATGTGTGTGTATGTGTATGTGAACATTCTGAATTAATTCTTCATAAAAGTTATTGCTAGAATTTTACGAATTATATACATATATCTAATGAAAATCATAAAAGCTTTAGTGCATGTAACAATAATACAATTAATAATGTTCAATAAAATTGTTTATTTATATATCGTTAAATTAATAATAAAAATCTTAGAAATGAGAATATTAAGAAAAAAAAAACATAAAAGAATAAAAGAAAGAAAAAAAGAATTGATTTCAGATATGAAAAAATAAATTTTGTACGAAAAAACTGAGCAATGAAATTTCTTATATGCAGAATATGTACTATTTTTTCAAAGCTTTGTACAAATATTATTAACATAATACTGTTTATAGTAATGAATTATATAATGTATATAATATAAAATTTAGAGGATTCCGTATTGAAAATTGTTCTTGATAAAAATGAGTTAGTTTCCACACATAATATAGCTTATAATACAGAACAAATCTTTGCTATTTATTATATTATAGCTTTGATATACTTGATAGCTAAAAAATTCATTATTGAGCCTTACGTCCATGACATTTTTTATTCATCATATTATAAACTACATTATGTATGAAAGCTATGACGTAAGTCACCCGTAATCGACGATTTTTGTTTGTGTATTATGTTTGTTAAGTAAAATGTATTTTATAATGATTAAATAACAAAACTTATTGTTATATTATAATACTTATTGTTGTAAAGAAGAAAGCCTAATATATCAATAACATATATCATAACTTCATATGTATCCAAGCATGATATATATCAAAATTTATTGTATAATTACGTTTCTTTTTATAGCTAAAACATCAAACAGCTTGAACGGACACTCTAACGTAGGTTACCGATTACTCTCGCGGAATTAAACTGATATGTATAATAGTAATAAGTTAATCAAAAACATTAAAATTGAATAATTAAAATGCAAAGTAAACTTTATTAGAAATTAAATTAAAAATAATGTTGTATTATATTTATTGTATTATATTTATTTGTAATTTTGGAGTTCATGAAAAGTTATTTGTCACTTGTAATGCAAAGATTTAGATTATTAATATATTAAAATCTGTTTTAACATCTTAAATTATTTAAAGAAATGAACAAATGAAATTTATTAATGAATAAATTCGTGGAGCATTTTATACAATGTATATAAAATATAAAGAGCATCGTAATACATGAATTCTATTTCAAGAATAAATCTTTTACGAATTAGGTATTTATTTTATAGCAAAAATATTAAGATGTTGATAGTTTTTGTATAAGCTTTTGTAGTTGTATAAGCGATTAGAAATAAAGAACTTTGCATAAAAAAAAACTTTAAGTATAAATAAACTGTACTCCTTATTTAATTTTATACAACTCTCTAAATTTCGTGGAGTGAAATCTCTTGAAGAGACTGAAAATTTAACCTGTCTTGAAAAAAAGTGAAAATACGGCCACTCTTGTTCAAGAGTGGCAGATTTCACTCCCTCGGAGTGAATCTCATTTCAAAAGAGTAAATCTTAAAAAGAGTGAAAATCCGCCATTTTTGAACAAGTGTAACCGTATTTTCACTCTTTTTTTAAAACAGACTAAATTTTCAATTTCTTCGAATGAGATTTCACTCTACGATTTAGAAAGAATTTTTATTTTAGGAAAGTTCTAAATCGCTGTGATATTTAATATCTATTGTAACATCAAATATTAGATATTAAATATTTGGAAGGAAACGTTTGGGTTGGTATATTGTAGTTGATTCTTATATTTAAGACCTCACTATGTTTTAAGAATTCAAAATTTTGGCCAAAAAGTCAATTTTTTGGATTTTTTAATAGGTTCTTTTATATGTAGAATTTGAAAGATAACATGTCAGTAATCAAAGAACTCATATCAGTTTTTTTATAATTGAGTTCTTACAACTACACTATAAGACACAAAATTCGTTACTCTAGGAGATTCGCTTGTTTATTTTTTCTTGCCATATCATTTAGTGAAAATTTGACAAAATATGTTAAGGAATTAATATTTATTTATAAAGCTTTTACACATTCTTGTTGCAGGTATTTATTATACTATTATATAAAAAATTAGTAATCAAAAATTTATACAAGCAGAGAAATTAAATAAAACACAACGTTGATACAAAATGTCGCATAATAATAAAATAATAATTAATACAACCTGCAAAAAAATTGCTTGATTTCTTTCACATAAACTCACATGACATTTTGTAAAATGTTTCTGATCAGTTTTATTCAAAATCTAGTTGCCTAAACTGTCGGTTAAATAGTTATTATTTATTCTTTTCAGGCATTATTTTAAATATGAAAAATTATTCGAAATCTGGCTAGAGGAACACAATAAGGATTACATTGTAAATCAGTATATTATGTATAAATAGTACATATGTATAAATATATTAAATTGTTCATTGAAATTTATTATTACAAAAGTTGGTTAATTCATTTTTATAACATTTTAATAACACATACGATGTAAAAGTGCCTTAATTTTCTAAATATTAAAAAAAAAGCATTAAAAATTTTTCATTGTTAGAATATATTATTTATAAATTTTGGTGAGAATATAAAAAAATTTTAGATCTTGGCCAAAATCTCGAGTTAAACCATTGTGAATCGTTCTGCGTACTTACAGCCTTTGTCATAGAGCTACATTAGTAGTACACGTATTTTAAAATTATTACTTAAAACAATCTTATAATAAGAACAAACTATAAATATATAAATATTGATCCTAATTAAGTTTTTTCAAGAAAGAAGAACTGAATAAAAGAAGGAATACTTTATTCAAAGCATCTATATAGTATAGTTATTTTTCGATTTTAATTTTTTCGGATTAACTACTATTACTACATAACTACTATTACTTATTAAAGTAAATTTCATATGTTAGAATATAACCTGCATGGTCACTTGTATAGAATATCTCTCATTATATATCAAGAAGAAAGTACTACCTCCGGAATTAAGCCGGATTTGCCGATATTTATAGTAAATATATAGTACTAATATATTTAAATCTTTGTTTCCTTACAGCAAACGGTTCATACCAACCTGGAATGGAGCCAAAACGACAGAGAACAGCCTACACGAGGCATCAGATACTTGAATTGGAAAAGGAATTTCACTACAATAGGTACCTGACAAGACGACGACGGATCGAGATCGCTCATACCTTGGTCCTGTCGGAGCGACAGATCAAAATCTGGTTTCAGAATCGCCGTATGAAATGGAAGAAGGACCATAAGTTACCGAATACGAAGAATGTACGCAGAAAAAATGCGAATGGCCAGGCGTCATCAGCAGCAGCTAAACCGGCGAAGACTTCAGCGGCGCGGGCAAAGTCCGGCACTGGCAACAACAATAGTCAAAGGAAAAACAACAATTCACCTTCTAGTGGTATGGAGAACAGTTTGGACTCAAACATCGGTCATGATATGAGCGAAGTTCATGGGGTCAGCTCCAATATTCCTCATCCCGTTGGTGTGGTTCATCCGAGCTTTCAAGGTCATCCTCATTCTCTGGCTCATCTCCAAGCACAGCTGAGTCATCATCACGTGGGTGGAATGATGGACGGTCCGACGGGAGGACCGTTGGGACACATAAGTTCCGGAAGTATCAGTCCTCTCGCTCCGGCTACCAGCCCTCCCGGATTGTCGCAAGTATCAGCTCCTGTGCCGCCATCGACGATAAAATCCGACTATGGACTCACAGCTCTGTAACATCAATTTAGTGAGGTATATTCAACGATATAATTTTTTCAATACTATTTAACGACTGCTCTCCATGAATAATTCCACTATTTGACTGGATATTTATTGCAAATTAGATAAACGTAGTTTGAGTTTTTCTCATTGCAGTATGAATAAGAAGAGTAGTCTCAAAACGTGAGCTAAGAGTTCATAGTCTTCAAAAAAAAGCAGTATTATTTTTTTTTTTTACGTACGTGAATATGTCAAGTGTTCTGCAACTGCAATCCATTAACTACAATATAAAACGCTAGATCTAAAATTATTTAGTTATTTCTTAACTCTATTGTACGTAAAAATGTTCTCTGATTTGTAAAGTTGTGAAAATCAAGTCTGAAAAATTAATCATAGATAAACATAAAGAATAGAAAGGAATATATAATTCTATAGTCAACAAAAGTAATGTCTCGAAAAATAAAGAATCATCAGGCTATCAGGTAATTAATAATAAATCACTTATTATTAACAGTTCATGAATATAATAATGAATCTGTTTATATCAAAACAATACAAAATTTTATTTTTGCTATAAAATATTTTCTACTATATACATGACTAAATTTATATGCTTTTGATTTTACAAGTATTAATTATTGAATTGAATTAATTTAATTAAACAATTTAATAATAATGCTATGACACACTATCCTCTGTTATCAAAATAACATTTGTTTAATCAAATTATTTATCAAATTTTTTATATTATTGCAAATTCCAATCAATGATGAAATTTGAACAAAAATTCATAATATTACGCGTTTCAGATTTCAAATTGAATAATAACGTATTTACAGTAGATGATATATATACCTTATTGCATAAAGTTTAGTATATTAATATATTTGAAATATTGCATTTAAATATTTATGCATCCTAATTAATAGAAATTCTAAAACTCTTTTTATTATTTAAAATTATATATAATCCTTTATTATTTATTCCTTAAATTTCTAATTTTCACAAATTTTTATACGACTGTCAAACTGTTAAACAAACTCTTGACGCATGAATATCTACCATGTCCAAATATGTCCAATTTTATGTAATAATATACATATATGACTTCTACTGTTTAATATAATAAAAAAATTGTGCATATGTATTATGCGTAATATATGTAATATAAACATCTGACAGATTAGAACTTTACATCTGGCAAATAAAAGTGCATATGTGTGCAAATAAAATCAAATGAAAGCAGAAGCTCTTAAATTATAATGTAGTTTTTTTATTGCAATTGACAAATTGTAGTAAAAAAGTTATAAGTTACGCCGTTCTAATACTTTCTTTATGTTTTCAAATAACTGAATATTCTTTATATTCCTCTTATCAAAACTTATAATTCAAAATATGATTAGTCTCTCAAAATATGATTAGTCATCATTTGCATAATATCAATATCTATAATAAAAAGAAATTTATACCTTGTGAAAAATGAATTGTATATACTCAATTTTATGTATATATTAGTGTAAAGAGAGTTTTATTATATGTACAACAATTGAAATAGTGTTCATATTTCGTATATTGACGTATATTATTGCATTATATGTTGATACTAACATTTTACATTATAGATGAAAATTGAATTTTCAAAAATTTAATCATTATGATTGCAGAATATTTATTAGTAATATAACAGAAAGCAACAAATTTTTATAGTAATACACAGTGTAATTATTATGTATGTCAGGTCATATTCATTCTGAAAAATTGTCATGTATCTGGAATACTTTAAATGCCGGAAACAAAATATTTTAAAAAACCTCTTTAAACACTTAAAAAAAAATGCAAGTTACTTAGAACTATCATACTTGAACACATCTTTCTGTAATGGAATATTGTAAATAATTCAAAATGAATAGTATATATATATATATATATATTTTTACCGAAAACAAACGAGGAATGACCAATAATAATTAGGACGCAATTGCACCTATCGGTGAATAAATCGGGAGTTGTACTATTAAGCGAGTAGTAATCAAACAATTAATGCACAGAACCGCTGTGACGATATACCAAAACAATATTATTAGATATAAGAAACAGAGTTATAAACGTTAAGATACATTAATTCTAAAAATCGAATTAGTGTAACTAGTGAAAGAATATAAGAAATAAGTGTATGAGTTTCGAGATTGTTCTATAAGTGTGACATTATACCCTCTTTGCTATTACTATTAATTGTATATAGCATGTACGATAAGGACATCATTGGGCACACTTCAATGCTTAGGTTTATATTGATCATAAGGATCGATAAATTATATAATTGTCAAGTAAATAAATGAATAAATAAATGTTTCGTAATTTACAATAACGTTATGTTTCCAAATCATATTCCCACCCTTATTTAACCTTGTCTCTCAACTCTTTTTATGCAATGGTTTTTTTATATTCGTATGACAGTTTCCTGCTTTAATATTTTTCATAATTTTTTTACACTATTTATTATTCTGTCAGGAAACACCGTTAATCAGTTGAAGTTAGTGTTACTTGTTATCTTAAGTTTTGACATTATCTCTTCCTCAAGTGTATTCGCATTCAGTTGTATATATGTATAATATATCGTTTCCATTCTAACTTCGATAAGGCTAAGAACTAAAATTGAAAGTAATATTATACATAAAATCGGTTTAAAAAAATAAATAATTAGACAATATAGTAATTTAGACAATATAGTAATTTGACAATATAATACATATTTTTCATCATAAGGCTGTACAAAATGACGTTGTATTTAAAATAGTCTAGGGATATTAATAATCATATGTTCTAAATAATTTACGTGTTAATAAATAAACAAAGGCTTTATTTTAAATTAATAATTCAATTAATATTTTGTTTTTTCGCTAAATTAATTTTTATATTATAGCATGTTTATGAACGGTAAAGCTATAAACGGTATTAACTTGTATTATTATATTTTCACTATATACATATAATTAATTATATTTTCACGTACTCTACAATTGTAACAGTGACGATTTAAAAAAAACTAGCAACGTTATTTGTGTTGACAATAGTCGAAAGTACTTAGATACACTTTGTGACTTTAATAGAAAAATAAGCAGTTCTGAATGCATACGCTATTATATAATTTACAAGTATCACAGAAGATATTATGGTGTATATCATAAGTATATATTTACTATTTTCTTGAACCCCCTCTTGTCCCCATGTAATCGTGTGGGCGCCCATGCGTGCGACGTTGCCGTAATAGCGCATGCGCATGCACGAGCATGTGCGTGATTGCCGCAGCCCGGGGCAAGGAATACCTCGCAGCAGCTCGAAAAGAAGGGTGGCACCCGGAAAGCGAATGGGGGGCCGCCTGTGCAGTCCTGCCTCCGCCCATGCCACGAACATCCCGGCCAACTGCCTAGATATGTTGCTACCAACCGGGTTCCAAAGTCAGACATATTATGGCGTGAATCAAGGTCGCTACTCATGTATAACACACACACGCACACACACGCACGCACATTACAAAAATTTTGGTATTTGTATACATATATTTTATCACTTCTTACATTCAACTCCCTTTATTTATTTAATATCAATTTCATTTTCCATAAAATTCTAACGATAAGAAGCATGTAATTTTGTTTATTGGTCATATCTAGATAATTTTATTGTGTTAATTTTATTGTGTTTTGTTAATGAAAATATCTTCCATTTTTTTTCGATTTATAGATACAGAGTATCTCAAAATTCGCGCATTCAGAGTACAGGATATAATACTTTATGTTAAAACAAACAACTTTTCCCTTTTGCAAAATTGCGTTTGAGAAGTATTGTAGTTTTTGCAGGAGAACAGGTTGAAGTTATATGAGTAAATGCAAAAATTATTTATTGAATGTAATTTTACTACAGGAAAAAGTTATTCGTTTTATCACAAAAAACAACTTTTTCCTTTAGCAAAATTGCGTTCGATAAGTAATTTTTGCAGGAGAACAGGTTGAAATTAACAAATAAGCACAAAAATTATCGGATGCAATTTTGCCAAAGAAAAAAGTTGTTTGTTTTAGCATAAAGTATCATATTCTGTATTTCGAATGCGCGAATTTTGGGGCCCTGTATATGAGGTAAAAGAAAGTAATAATAAAAAAATATATCAAAATAGTTATAATTTCATAAATTGGTCTTTTATAAGTATACATATATTATTAGATTATGGATAGATTATCTATACACGTAACACTTTTATTTTTCGTTTTAAAAATGATTAATTATAATACTAATAATGACTAATGATTTAAAGAAATGATTTTTTTTATTGATGTCTTTACTTTAATCTAATTAAAATTGCAAAGTTTGCTTTAATAATTATCGGCAGTCTTTGAATTTGTGAAACCTTCAATTAGCGATGACTACACTGTTAAATCTATAGTCATATCAAACCTAATTTAAATCGCCACTGTTACTCTTACGTAAAATATTATTATTTTATATTAAAACAATTAAATTTGACTCTATATAGTGTTAATTTGATACTATGTATCAAACTGATTCCATAATACTATAATATTATAATATAATTTAGATTTAACAATGTATAAGCAAGTAAGTATATGTATTACATGCAGAAAGTTATGTCAATAAAAAAGAATAGAGGTATTATTTTTTAATAATTTTATTTATTAACAATTTTGAATTAATTAGTTCATTACAATTTATATACACAGTTCTAAATTAATTAATTTCTTAGAATTAATTTATATGTAGTTTTACAATTAAGTTTATAAAATCTATCAAAATTAGTGTTATAATTTATAACACTTATTTACTTTTTATTAAAATTTTATAATTTTATAATTGATTTAAATATTAGGAAATATGTAAATATTAGGAAATATGACATTTATTTTTTTTTTGGACATTAATCTGAAAAGTCTAATATAAAATTTTGTTAACAAGATATTATTTAATGTTTAATAAACAGAAGAGATAAAATTCAAAATAATTAATGTGTGTGATATTGTCCGTATATTTATTGTAATGAATTGATGTTTATAATTGTTGCCTTTGAGCTGCACAGAGAAAAAAGTATTTGGTATTCATAATTCTAATTGCATGATTAAAAAATTATGGAGAGAGTCCATTTTATGGTTAATACTGCTTTAATCTTATTTAGTAATAATAATCTTATATATATAGTTCTCTCAAATATGGAAAAATTATACTATAAATTATGATAATTTGAATTATTAATATAGTAAAATGTTAAGATATGAATAGTAAATAAAAATAACTGTTTTTATGTAATAAATACGATTATCATTATATTGAATACAACTATTTACTATTTAGTAAATAGTAACAATAACTAAGAGACATAATAAGGAGAAACTAATTTCGTAAGGAAGAACACTTAATGCATGTCATAATTGTAATGATTGTATTTTAATGTTGAAGCAGCTATAATATGTATGATTAAAATAATTATAAATTTGTAGTAGACTCAAAAAGATGATTATAAATTATAGTTAAATTATTATAGCACTTGCAACCATTTTTTTTCTCAGTGTGTGTGTACATAGTAGCTACGTTTGTATAATCTTGTAAAAAATATTTTTTTAATATAATATGAATATATATAATATGAAAAATAATATATAATAATATATATAATACGAAAAATATAATTTGAAACATGTGCAGTATGATTTAATTCTAATACGTATATTCTATCCAACACAAGATGATACGATTAATAGCAAGTTTCCAAGCGAGTAGAAGGAAGGAAGTACACAAGAGCCACTAATTGCAAGATCTATGTACTGTTGTCTGCTTGCTATCCGTGAATAGATAAACCATAGATTTTGATGTTAAACACCTTCGCTAACTTCTATAAGATACAGATTAGTTGGAAATTATTGTAGACATTTTGGTCAGTCTATTGTTTCAAAGTGGAGCGAGATATAATACAAAATTGATTACAGGTATGTTTATATTAGGATAACAGTCACTTGAGAGACAAAGACAGAAAAAGAAAAGGGAAGAAAAAAAGAAAAAGTTAAAATAAAACTAAAAATAAAATGTAAAAATAAAATATAAAATATACTCAAATATAAAGACAATTTTTAAAAAGGCAAATATGATAAATTTAAATAAATTGATATTTTAAGTCTCTTGAAAAAAAATTTTTGAACAGTATTCTATATGCATTTATAAATTAATAAATTTTTGTTAAATATAAACTAGAGTATATAAATTAAAAATAAGTAATCTAGTATCTTAAATAAAAATATTTTCTAACGATCAGTTACAATCTTTAAGCTAATAAGGTTAAATTTCTTCAAATACCACTTTATCAAACTATTCAGTAGAAGAAGAATTAATAAGAGGAAAGCAATAATTGATGGTAAAATTTATATTTGTACAAATAATTGTTTGGCTAACGATTGTAGAGATATAATGATTGTTATCAAAACTTATTTACAAAACATTTATCTAAATAATTATGTTTTGTTTTTTCCCTTTTTCAAAAAATCTGTCCATTTTCCTTTATTAGGGACTATCATTTCTCTGTACACAAATACTTAACTATTCATTTCCGAACCTTCTTTTCGTTCTGTGTCGTTACACGCGTCACATTCCATTTCCGTTCTCTTAAGACAAATGACGCATACATGCTGGTCATTTCGTCTATATCCGCATAATAATCGCTTCGATCTACAACTTGTACAGTGCTGAAGTGGGTGGTCGTTGAATTGCTCGTTTAGCGAATGCAGAGACAGACAACGAGAATTTCAGCGCGAGTCGTGTCATATCTCTTATTATCGTCAACTTAACTGTAGCGCGACCACACATTCTGCATTCAACAATGCATTTCAACTAAAATCAAATATTTAATTCAATAAAATTACGTTCAAATCACTATTGTTCATGTCCGAAAATTTCAAAAATGATGCAAGATAGATCTGGTGTGAACGGTCCCCATCAAATGTAATTGGAGGGGATTAACGAGTCACGACTCCATTTATCAGCCACCGTAATTACAAAGCATCTCTGCCTCCCACCTTCCTCTCTCTCAACAATCTACCCTTGCCCTTTTGCGCGTTCGCCGCATCGCTTTCCGTTCGATGCTCTCTCCACTGACTGACTGACATCCCCCAAAGACAGTTTCACATCTCAAATACACATTCGCCTGTAACTAAAGATAACAAGCATCACCGTGTCATCGAAGGGAACCGACACGAAATTAGATTTAAATTCAACGCATAGACGTAGCGCGGAAATATCTTCGCGCGCTATTAATTGTCGCTTCCGTTGAATGTAGATTACAAACGAATAAAGATAAATTCAAAAGAGATGAATGGGGGAGTGTTACTTCGATTTTGAGAGACCAGATAATGAATCAGCTGCCGTAACACGCAGCACAGTAGCGGTCTGACGACACGCGCCAGTGATCGAACGAAAGGCTCCAAAAGCTGACATGGGCGGCCACGTCCATCTTTAGAATTAATTAAAACCATCGGTCCGAAAGGGACATGTATTTTTATCTACGGCTAGTCTCGGTGACGTGATCTACCTCCGAGTAGCAGGATATAAAGGGAAAAAATGTGCTGTTACTGTCATCACGTTCTGCTGCAGATAATCTTCCATGCCAGCCCCAGTTCACAATGTCATATATCTCATACTTAATTTCATTACACGATGCCTCATGAATATTACTAAGATATTTACAATTAGGAGCGATGTAAACAGCATTAACGCAAAACATACATAATCATTATTGGAACATAAGGTTTCTTTTAACTTTGCATTAAAACACGAATTTTAATTTAAGCGATGTTTAAATTTAAGATATAAGTAGGTATATATCGATCAAACGATTACATAAAAAGAATGGTTTTGGTGAAATATCTAAAAAAGCTAGACAACTCTGCAAATAATTTTATTGAATTATCAAAATAATTATATAGAATATTTAGCTGATTATTAGAATGTAAAAATTTTTTGCAGCTTTATTCATCATACTTAAGTTTCCTACATAATTATTTTAGTGTCCAATCAAATTATATTTAGATCTGTATCTATCTAAATTCTTAGATACTTTAGAAAAATCATTCTTTCTGTGTGTATATTTTTTATTTCAATGACTACTTTATTATTTTCTAGAAGAAATGACATATTTTTACTTCTCTCTTGATAACGCTACCTGAAGGTTACGTACTAACAACAAGCACCACGAAGTGCTACTATTACGAGAAGCCGTCGACGGTACCTGTCGCTAGTCGCTACCTCTGTATAGAAAAGGAAAAAGTGAAAAAGAGAGAAAGAGAGACGAACAGAGAGGGGGAAGAGAAATAGAGAATGAGAACGACAGACTGGGCGGCGCAAAGGCTTCGACTCGCAAGCCGCACGTTCATTAATCTTGATCGGATCAGTCGAGATAGCGGCGAGCTGTTTCGGAAACCCTCTCCTACCACCCCTTCTCATCAAGTCCCCTAGTACCATCGCCTCCACCTTCTCCTTCACCTCTTCCTCCCCCGTCCTCTATGTCCCTCAGCTCCTTTTTCTTCTGCTTCTCAAACTCTTTCCTGCAGGACCCTACCTTTAGATCGGTTCACCCGAAAGTTAAGAGCGAAGAAACCCTTGGAACGGATCGACAGTGCGCCACGTCGAGAACGCCTGACGGTTTTAATTCCAGTCCACACACTGACCAATTTCTTTCATCCGAATCTCCAAACATAAATTCTCAGAACTATAGGATTAGATTCTTAGTCTACAAACGCAGGATGAAATTAATTAATTGTATAGATCAAGTCTACCATTATATATTTTAAAGTTTACTTCATTATTTACTGGTGCAGTTAAATTTAATTTTTTTAAAATTAGTTTCTGATGACTTTTAATTATTTTGATTGATTTAAATAAAATAGTAACACAAAAAATCTTAC